TGAAAAAAAATGGTAAATTTGGTTGAAAAATAGTTAGGTTTTTCCAACGGTGGTCGGCCGATCACCGTTTGAAATTTATACAAAATACCACTTTTTTTGAAAATGACTTGACACCAGGTGCCATAATTTTACAGGATGCTTTAGACTTTCATTTACCAACATCCTAGTAAGCTATTTTGTAAAAATTTGGTAGTTTTGTTTTCCAATGTTTGCAATGTTTGACTTTAAAGTCACCTTGTGCCCTATGTGCTTGAGGTTGCAGCAGCTTGAACACTTCATCAGACATTCTTTCCCCATCATATCTTAGTGGCTAGTCACCCAGGGTTTTATGGAGTGCGCAGATACCTGGGGACGACCTACAAATGTATGAAGCCCTTGCTTGTTGATGAAAAAATAATATTTACATACGGTTGGTATTCTACAGAGCAATGCCATAAAAACATCTGTTCAATCATATCTAGAATACATTACATGCACATGTATAAGTAAGATTTGAGGCTTTGCATGGTGGAGATACTAAACAATGAAAGGTTTGCGGAAACACCATGTGCGAATAATTTCTCAACTAAGAGAATTGTTCTGAAAAGAACCAGAGGTACATGTATAAACTTGACGTTCCGGTCAGTATGCTCTGACCTTCTTCAGGAGAATGAAGACGGTCTCCTTAAGACGGTCAAGGGCGGATCCAGAACACAATTGGGGGGGGGGCCAAAAAATATTTTGGTCTCCCAAAAAAGTGGGTGAAAAAAATTACGGCGTGGGGTTCAGGGCCCGCTTAAGGGCCCTGAATTTTTTTTGGATTCTAGATGCTCTGTGGTGCGATCTGAGGCAATTTTTTGACCACTTTAACCAATGTTTTTGTGAGGAAAAGATGGTGGTGTACTCATTGCCTGCCTTTATTGCGATTCACATAAAAAAAAAAAAAAATTGGTTTCGTTTTTTTTTGGGGGGGGGGCCATGGCCCCCTTTGGCCCCCCTGGACCCGCCCTTGAAGACGGTCTGAGCATACTGACCGGAACGTCGAGTTTATACCTCTGGTTCTTTTCAGAACCATTCTCTTAGTTGAGGAATATTCGCACATGGTGTTTCCGCAAACCTTTCATTATTTAATTATGCACACGTTTATGTTGTCACATTAGTTTTTGTACATGTTAAAGGAACATTACGTACATCCTGGAATGCACCTCCACAATGCACACTTATTAAGTCCCGCTGTCGGCATGTAATTCCATAGATGGCTCGGAATGTTTCTTGAAGACATCATAAAGGGGGGAGTTTGGGTGTCGGACCCCCTTTCCAGCTCTGACTAAAAATGTATTTTTTTCCATAGAAATACATTAAAAGTAATTTAAACAACCCCCCCCCCCCCCTCCGTGACACACAATATTCGTTTAAAAAAAATAACTACATGTATGCACGCGCACAAGTGTGTATTTGCCTGCAATCGGGGACCCCCTATTGTCCCTCCTTTGTTCGTACTTTAACTTTTTCAGGAAAACCTCACATATGTTTTGTACACGAATCCAAATTGGGGACCTTCGGGAATTGGGAACCCTATTGTCCTGTATTGTTCAACGTCCCCTATTGAATGCAGAAACAAACTCACACACACACGACTAGGTGATGATATGGTATCGTAAATATTTTGCTGGACACATACTGAAATTTGTATCCTTGTCATGCTTGTGGAGTCATTTCTTTGCTCTTGTGTAGTAAAGTTTTCGAGTTTGAAAGTGTAGTTTCAAAATGCTCTTATTTTAACCAGAATTAATTTCCTTGGCTGAAATTCGGACTTAATATCCCTTTTCTAAAACTCTTCCATATGGGACGGATCAACCCACCCTGGAAATTCCTAGTTTTTGAGTAAAATCCATATATCTATTTCATGAAAACTTGTGGAGACATATTCATCTTTAGAAATTGCCCTGTGGAGACGTATACAATTTTTTGTTCCCTATTGTGTGCATGTCTCCAGAGGGCACGGTGTATCAGATCATCTAAATACATACCACATGCTACAAATGAACCATGGAATATTGGTTTCTTCGGAGAAAAAGTACACTCACTCTTTCAGATCAGACATTGGAGACACATTAATTACACACAAATATGTTAGTGCACCAAGACACAAAGTGTGACCACCCCTTTTACATGTATGTCTGCTTTAATCATTCGCCGAAAAATATCAATTTCTCCCCAGACGTTGGGATTAATATGCTTGGTAACCGGACCCCTCACTTTTTTCCCCTAAACCTCATTTTTCCTTATAACGGCCTTGCTCGAGAGAAACGTAATCATCTTGTTTGGCGGCCGTCACGGTTTCTAGGGGAATCACCATGGGATGATATATTAAGCCCCAAACCACTCGGCCCATTTGGTCACGGATATTAGCCGTGGTCATATGACACTGTAGGGGATCAGGGCAGAGAAAAAAAAAACAGTCTTATTCAGTCTTTGTAATTTTATCTTAAATGGTTTAGGAAGGTAAGGGACTTGTGACCCAGGGAATTGGGATCGTGATTATTTTGGTCCCATTCTGTTGGTATCGTGATCAGAGTATTATCTTCTTCACCTGCATCCAGTAAGCAGTGTTCTGCAAATATCAAGATTTGATCCCTACTGAACTAAAATTTGACACTGCAAACTCAAAAAGTGTGTACAAGTACAGGGTGAGTAAAAAAACAACGAAACCCAAATGTCTGGACTATTGTTTTAGTGAAGTTCTGCATGTAGCACTTTCAAAATATATGTAAGACCAATTCATATACTTTGTTGTAGTACAAGAATCATTCAAATCACTCATGTACTTTTCAGGTCACAGAATTTTAAACACAACCACCCTTTTAAGGTTCTGTCCACGGATCACCAAAAAGTTCAGTGTTCTTTCAGCAAAATGAAAACAAATCACATAGGGATGTGCGTGAATTGTTTTCATTTTGCTGAAAGAACGCACACCTTTTTTTGTGATCAGTGGACAGAATTTTAAAACGGTGGTTGTGTTTAAAATTCCATAACTTGAAAAGTACATGTGTGATTTGAATAATTCTTGTACTAAAAGAAAGCTTATGAATTGGGCTTTCATATCCTAGATTTTCAAGGTGCTACATGAAGAACTTCACTAAAACAATAGTCCCGACATGTCGGTTTTTTTCTTTTTTTTTACTTACCCTGTATTTACCGGTAGATCTACATGTACAATTACATGTAATTTCCAAAGAAAGGATATGCTACAAATTTGCTTAAAAACAGCCAAACAATATTACACTGCACATTAAAACTATAAAATGTATTGAACAGTTTTATTAATAAAGGAATTAAAGGGACTACTAATTTGATCTTGTTTAAAGGTACAGTCCATCATTTGTAATTTCTGCATTTTGTTTGTTAGAAGCAACAAAAATGCTCATAATCTAAAGAAGGGTGCTGAACAACTAACCTGATGAAGTTTCAGCTCAGCTTCAGCTGTATATTCCGAGAAAAACAGCATTCTAGGATCTCGATTTCAAATCAAAAGTTGCTGAATTATGTTTTGAATTTGGGCCTGAATTCAACGTCCGAGACACGTTCTCACTCAGCCGTTTGCAGCTACGCGATGTCGCACACCGATCCGACGAATTATAGCAACCGCAGGCCCGAGTGCGTCGTGCCAAAGCTTGCGCGCGCTTCGCCGAATAAAAAAACGAACTACGAACGGAAATTTCCAATGGTGCATCTTAAGACGCACTGTTGGAAAGGCCTTCTTTTGTTTATTTCTTCAAAATGACAGCTTGCCAGAAAGAATAATTTCACAGGGAGTTTAGTCCCCTTACTATCTTTCAACCAAGTATGTTTTTCAACAATAATTACGCCAGTTACTTTTTGGATAGCTGCAAATGATGGACTGTAGCTTTAAGTTTACATGTACATGTACATATGTACATGTTCCTCTTTAAAGGAACACATACCAAACCATATGTATGTATGGTATTGGTATGTGAACATATTCCGTGCAAGTATTTCTTGTCTCTGAACTTTTTGAAAATAATGAGACACTATTTTTTATTACATCTACAATTGTTTGCAGTTTTTTTTCACCATTTACACTTTGTGTTATTTTCTGACACACGAGGGCGCTGTTACAACTAAGTCAATTTGAAAAGTTCAAACTCTGGTTTATTGATTTTCTTTTGTTAACCATAACTTTAACTCAATTGAACAGTCTGTGTTATCCAAACAAAGGAACTCGAAAAAAAGATCTGAGCACAGTTTTAAAAAAAAATCGGACAAATTTTATTGCTCTTTGAAGGCAACCGTTACAAAAAAGATTCTGCCCGTAAAGATGACATCTCACATTTTGTTAATATGGTATACATTCACATAAAGATAAAGAGGCACTGAAATGTCCTTGGACATGTTGGAAATTGCAATACAGGTTGGATAAAAAAATAACGAAACCGAGCTATTATTGCTAATTGTAACATAAATCTCATGGTGAAATCTCTTTTTCCCCCACCTGCCTTGATTGGCAACCATAGCCTTTCACTCTGTGACAAATGACACAACAAAAACCACAATTGAAAAGTGGTGCAAGCCTCTAAATAGACCCTTTCATAAAATTGGTCACTGCTCAGTCAACCGTGAATGTAATGACATGACCAGGGTGTCATTTTAAAGAGGAGATTCAACCCTAACAGAGGATATCTCTCTTTGATTCACATGTGCCCTACTTCTGTTCCAATTAGCAATAATATCCGGGTTTTGGGTTTTTTATCCACCCTCTATAAAGAGGAAAAATGAAGCATACAAGGGATAGAGAAATGAAACAAAATTTGAACATGTTTGAAACTTTGCAAATTATTATTTGTCTTTTGTATGCTGAAGTGTTACTGTTTGAATTAAAATTTGATGCACAGAAAAATACATGTACCATATTTGAAATGTGAGCAGTGTGTCCACGATTATGTACTAAATGTACTACTTATTAAAAAAATTAAAATCTCTTTGAATTTTTTTTTCCCCAGTCCGGATGTGAGTAAAGTTCAAGACCAGTTCACAGCCTACTACACGGTCCATGGCGCTGCTCTGGGATTCACCAATCTTGCCTTCACAGCGGCCTCCAAGACTGGCCTACCGGTCTCAAGCAAAGTCAGGGACATCCAGGTATGTGGAGTTTTTATTTACCAGTGTTATAGTTTACAAATATTGACTGCTTTAAAGGTTACAGTCCATCATTTGTAATTTGGGTATTTTGATCATTGGAGGAACAAAAGTGCTCAAAATCTAACGAAGGGTGCTGCACAACTAACCTGATGAAGTTTCAGCTTAGCTTCAGGTGTATATTCCGAGAAAAACAGCATTCTGGGATCTCAATTTCAAATCAAAAGTTGCTGAAGCATGTTTTGAATTTGGGCCTGAATTCAGTGTCTGAGACACGTTCTCACTGAGCCGATTGCAGCTACACGATGTCGCGCACCGATCCGACAAATTAGAGCAACCGCTCGTGCTTCGTGTCAATGCTTGTGCGCGCTTCGCCGAATAAAAAAAGGAACTACTAACGGAAATTTCCAACGGTGCTTCTTAAGACGCACCATTGGAAAGGCCTTCTTTCGTTGATTTCTTCAAAATGACAGCTTGCCAGAAAGAATAATTTTACAGGGAGTTTAGTCCCCTTACTATCTTTCAACCAGTATGTTTTTCAACAATCATTATGCCAGTTACTTTTTGGATAGCTGCCAATGATGGACTCGGGCTTTAACTTGTGGTGCAGTAAAACTAGCCTCCCGAAGTGATCCATGGAATTCTGGTTACCGCAAGGCATATCCAAGGGAAATGTAAACGCTCCATGGATCACAGAGAGAGGCTAGTTTAACAGTGTACTACACCACAAGTTACAAAACAGTTAATATCTCAACACCTCGCCCACAGATTCTGCTTAAGTTTTTATAAAAGATGAATTTAACAAAAAAAAAACAAATTTTTGGCTCGGGTATAATTATCAGCATCCAGACTCCAACCGGTCTTAAACAGAGTGTTTAAAACCGGGCAAGCACACATTTATTCCCTTAATAATATAAATCACAAGCTTGCTTCAGTTGGAGTCAAACTCACAACCTATAAGATACAAGTAATGGAGTACCGAAGTGAATACGTCACGCGCACAAAATGTGTGTAAAAGACACTAGTGCGTGATTCAGCCCGTGAACCAACACGCGCGCATACTCCATTCGTTTGCACTACACTTTCTGGTTCTAAATGGTGTAACACTCTGGTATTCCATATCAGTCAGTTTCTCTTTAATGTCGCTATTCATAACTGTAAATGCTATCTTTGTTCCCAATTTTCAGGTTTTCCCACCACTTCAACTGTCGCCTAGAAACATTACCCTAATGGTTGGTGCGGAATTTCAGGTATGTGAATCCTTCGTTAAGAACGTTACCATTTTACCCCATTTTTGGTCCAGGTAATCAACTTGTTATATTGAATAGCAGGAAGAGGCAATCACAGTACGGGCAAGAAATCGTAAGAACTAAGCAGCCTAGAAAAACAAAATAATTGTGAATGCGGATACCGAAGAAATTCTCCATTTTAAATTCACACAGTCAATGAATGTTCTTTTATCTTTTTGTAAAGGTGCGGAGTACCGGTGGCCCTCAGCCCCAGTCTCAGATCGAGTACAGCATGGGCGATTGGCAGATTGCCAACATTGCCTCTAGTGGACTCTTGAGGGCGCAGTCTCTTGGTCACAGCAGGGTTGTAGGCAAGGCGGTGGGCTACGACCCAGAAACTGGCTCTACTGTGGTCTATTCTCAGGTAAGACCCAAAACATGATCAAGTCTATATTGCAGTTTTTCTTGAAGGCAATGATTTTTTTATCATCACTTTAATCCTTTTTTTGACAGAATTTCATTCACTGATACAAGACGGTAAGATTGTTTGTAGTTTGGATTTTGTGGTAATCAAAATGAACACTTGTAAAGTTCCCATAATGAAGTGAATTGAGCAAAAACGCTGAAAATGAAAAATGACCTTCATTTTTGCGTCTGCCATATTTGATTTCCAAAAAGCCTTGCAGTTGGCCATGTGACCATGTATATTTAATGGACTTCGGTAAATAATGAATAGTTTTACAGACAACGTGTTTCTTTGCACATCTGTAATTGTTTTTGTGAATTTATATCATCAAAACTAAAGTTGATAATTACCATGAAAAAAGCCAGTTGTTTTGCCAATCAGTGGCATTTCCCTTAATTTGAGGTTTTCCAAACTTTGTGAAATTATGATGCTAACTCACACAAGTGTTTAGAGCTTTGGTTAAGAGTCAGAAAGGAGGTTTAGATTACATGTATTTCATGGGCAGAAAAGTAAAAAAAAGCCTACGATTGCTCTCTTTTCTAGGACACAATTGACGTCTACGTCATACGCCTGAACGGCATCAAGATCCACGCGCCACTCCTGCGACTAGAGACCAACACCGAGATGCCGGTGTACGCGATAGGTACCAACGAGTACGAGACACCATTCACCTTCGGCAACGTCATTCCGGGGCTGGACTTCTTCTGGACGGTGACCAATAAGGACGTCGTGCGGGTGGAGCCCGTGTTTGAAAGGGTGAGCTTAGAGAAGAACAACCATAACAAGTGAATATCTTAGTCACACGTCATTTAAATCAGTTTCTCTTGACTTCAAACTGGATTTCTGCCGAGGATCTGTGAGGACATTACTAAAAATTCTGCAAGAACATTCTCTTTCTTGGTTAAATGTGAAACAAAATTGGAAATCAAGATTCATGTTAGTTTATGACAATGAACATTTTAATTTTGTCAATGGGACTTGGTACATGTACATTTTATCATGAATTGTTCCTTTTGTTTACAGCAAGGGGTGTCGAGCAACGCAGAGCACAACGTGGCCATGAGAGTCCACACCCTGAACCCAGGGGAAGCCTCCCTCAAACTCCAAGCCATCTTCAACCCCAACATGGCGTCCCAGGCCCGGTCCACCAAATTACTGATTGATGAGATCCAACTACAGGTAAGTCATCGTCAACTCCCCAAAATGGTGTCCTTAATGTCATGGCAACAGCAAGCAGAAAATACTGCTCGGCTAAATTTAAATGCTAAGGAGAAGTTGACAGAACTGGGCTCAATTTCACGGCTCTGTTTACGGTTAGCAAAAAATTCCTGCTTACTGTAGCAGAAAATTCTGTGCTTTTACGGTAAGTGTATTTCAAAGATGCCAACGTTTACGATTTAGGCGTAATTTATACGATTTATTCATCCCGATTACGATTGTACGATCCTTATATGATTTTTACGATTTTCCAAGATTTTACGTGACTAAAACGAAGTGTGCACAATTTGTATTACATGTAGTATCTTAACTCCTGTTTTTTGCATAGCGCATATTAAATGTGAATTTGGTATCAGACTATTGGGTGTGCGATTTTTAGCGCATAAAAGAGCGCCGACATGTACCAGTAGTGTGTGCACAAAAACGACATCACTCAATAATAATAATAAATAAAAATAATGCATAATAAATAATAGTTTACACATAGGCAATACGTGGAAGTAGGATGGAAACCAGTTACGGACGGTAAAACCAAATCGCTCCAATGTTATGCGCGCGACCTTGGGGCGTTGGATTGCTCTACGCACCTTCATAGTTGTTGCACAAGGTCCAGGAAAACTTGAATATCACCAGGATAACTCATCATTATCTTTTACTCATTTCAGGTGTTTGAGAGACTTGAGCTCATTTCTAACTGCCACACCAACCTCCTCATGACCCCAGACACCCAGGCCCCGATCAGGACCAACCGGGACGGCTCGGCACGCATGTCCTACTCAGTCTTGTACCCTGACTACGAGCCCCTGATCAGTGTGAGTCGGCAGGGGTTGGTGTCTGCTGGGTCGCGGACTGGGCAGACTACTGTGCTGGTCACGGCGTATGAGAATTTTGGCGTCAACCAGACACTGTCAGTGTTGGTCACGGTAAGTAGTTCGCTGAATTGAACGCATTTACTGGAATCTTTCCTGTTAAACCCCGCCCTCACTAGTCAACAAGGGACAGATTCACTAGTGGATATTAGGTGTTGTGGTCCACATGTGTTCTAGTACTCGTACTCGTACTCGTACTAGAATGTCAAAGTACTCGTACTCGAAATGACGGTACTCGAACTCGGGCAGCAAAGTAATCGTAATCGACATGTCAAAATTGTATTTGATCATCAAAGTACTCGTACTCGAATAGCAGTACTCAAAAAAATAAGGTCTAGCTTGACTTACCACGACCTTATTTTATCGATACTTTCAGTTTGAAATGGTTGATTGGCTTGCGGAGAAATCGAAGTTTCCTGCTTTTCCTCTGTGCACGTCCGGACAAACACATTTAACAGATATCTGTGAGTGGGTCTGTTTATTGACCTGACTGGCCCTGAGCCAATTATACGCACAATGAACCATTTGCCGTGTGGCTGTATTTGGAAATAGAAGTACTCGGAGACTTGTGCTTGTACTTGGAAGTACTCGTACTCGTACTCAGTAGCCTAAGTACTCGGCAGTACTCGGTACTCGGAGAAAAAGTACTCGACTACAACACTGGTGGTCCAATGGTTACGGTGTTCGATTTGTGTGCTGTGGTACATGGTTCGAATCCTGACAGGGAACATGGTGCTTGTGCGCTTGGGCAAGGCACTTTACTACGATTGCCTTTCTCCACCCGGGGGTAGTAAATGGGTACCTGGTAGGAAGAAATTCCTCGAATGCTTGAGCGCCGTAATGGCAGCCGTGCTAAAGCCAGGGTAATAATAAGAGCGCCAGGAGTGTCACTTCCTGACAGACATGAGCGCTATACAAGAAGCCAATATTATTATTATTATTTCCACTGCTTTTGGTGCTGTTTACATTCATAATAAAAATGACTGATATTTGTTCCTAGTTTAAATTCTATTTTTTCCTTAACTTTTTAAGATGAAAAAAACTGTAGTTCCATGTGGTAGGATATTCTAACTCAATTAAAAAATTTCAAAAAGCCAATTTTTTTTGGTCATTATTACCTCTAACTAGGTCAAGCCAGTGTCCTACATGGCCATCCATTCCACCAGTAATCTCCTGACCAGCCGTGGGGAGAAGCTGGCCGTCTTCCCTGTAGGCATCGGCCTGTCCTTCGCTGTGGCCTTCTATGATAACGTCGGGGAACGGTTCCAGGCTACGAACACTGTGCTGGAGCACAGACTCAGCAGGTAACTTTGACTCTATTATGTGTCAGGGGTCATTTCAGTGAATGAAATAAAATGGCCTAGGCACAAAATGACTTAGCAGAATGACTGTGGGGTGCTCCAATGGTTACGGTGTTTGACTGGTGTGCCGTGGTACATGGGTTTGAATCCTGACGAAGAACATGGTGCATGTGCTCTTGAGCAAGGCACTTTATCATTATTGTTTCGTCCTTCAGATGGGATGCAAAGCCCTAGGTCCTGTGTGTTGTGAACGGCACATTAAATAACCCAGTAACAGAGAAATAACCCAGGCTAAGAGAAGTGGTTTGCCCCGGTGTTTCTGGCAGTGGCTGCAATATGCGTCGCAGCACCTTGTAAACCCTTATAAAGGTGCTACATAATGGGTCTCACATATCTCATACAAAATTCATTTACCTGTCTTTACAAATAGACATAATTACCAGCGCCTTGAGTACCTAATTGTTGGTAGATACGTGTGCTATGGTAAGACTCAGGTAGTATTATTATTAGCACAATCAATTTGGGGTTGTCACGTACTCTACAATGTACAATGCACCTAACAGTTAAAAAAGTATGAGAAATATGGTGAATGGTTGTGAAATGTTGCATGTCCGACAGTAATTTCACCCTCGCAATAGGAGAGATTCAGAGTGTGGTTTGTCAACAAACAGTTGCCTTGAAAAAGGCTTTATATTTTAACTTTTGTCTTTGGCAAGCATACCGTTCAGGGGATCATGGTCTCTAACCAAAAGTCTGATAACAGCTAAACATGTACTTAGCAGTATTATGAAATTATGACCAGTGCATTTGATTTCAGAGTTTTCAATTCCAAGATTCTGTTCCAAAAGTTTTGTCTTATAAGTTCTCTTCTGACTATCCCAGTTTTGACTTGAACATTCCTGAAAACACTTCTTGTTTTAAAGAAAAATGTACTGGTTCGTTTTGTCCTTTCTTTGAAATATGAAAAAAAAACATAAAGAGTATGAGTTATTTCTTTATTATGCTAATTTTAATCACTGTGTTCTCAGGTTTGATCTCCTTCGACTGCAAGCGGGTTCCGACAATGGCACTTTTGTGGCCCGTCCTGCACACATTGGCAGCACTATATTCAAGGTTAGACTCTTGTGTATTTCCACATCAGTAATATATACAAATAATGAATGTTTAAAAAATTATTCCTTCCATTGAATATGAAACATTCACTATTGGCTTTATACAATGTCATGCCGACCATAGTGTGACCGTACAATGGAACTTGTATTTACCGTGGAATGGAACTTTTATTTACCGTGGAATGGAACTTTTATTTTTGCGGTGTGTGTGTGGCCGTGCCGTGAGTTTGGACAAATAGTTCAATGACACGTGATCAATGACCAACCAATCAGATGACGGGATTTGTTGAGCCGATATATGCATGACTTGACAGTTCATTTCAAGGCGTAAAACTCAGGGCAACAATTTTGAGATTTTTCCAGTGGCAAATTTTGGTTCTGTTTTTAGAGATTCGCTTTGCTCATGAACTGACTTTCATGACTGACTTTGACAGGTCTGGGACAAGAACAGCCCCTGGATTGAGGACTACGTGAACATCCCCGTGGGCAGCGTGGTACAGCCCAGCCGGACATTTGTTGTTGGGGACGTCATATGCTTCAGGTCGCCTCTACTCACTGTTGAGGGTAGGTTGAAAATGCAAATAAATAGATGAAAAACACCTTTCTTTCCATTTATGAAGAATATGTGTCAAACAAAGTTACCATTTTTACTTGTTTTCCAGGATTATGATTTCTTCCAGGTTCAGTTTTTAAGATGGAACTGTTTCCAAGGACAGTTTTTAAGACTTGCAGCTGAAAATTTTTTGGCAAAATTTGTGAAAAAAAAAAATTCATTGCAGTTTTAGACTCTTCTTGTTAATAATAAAGCGTATTCTGGGATACACGACAAATTAAACTTTTCTGATTTTGTGCTAGCATTTACCCAAAGGCTTATTTGTGGCAATTTTAATCAATCAACAACCTCCATGTAAAATGTATGGCACATTAAAAAGTCAGCATTGGATGAAACGCCTTATGTGATTGGACAGCCGTATGGTACAGACTCATCAGCAACCAATCACAACTCTGCTTGCATTTAGGTCAGAGAGGCTCCTGGAGATCCACCAGCAGCTCCGTGCTTCAGTTGGACAGCAGCAGCGGCATTGCCATGGCAACCAGACCAGGGCAGACGACCCTCCACCATGACATTTCCACCAGCGTGGCCACGCATTCAGAGGTACCATCAGACCCTTTAAAAAAAAAATCCCCTCATTTATCCAAATCCGACGTTTATTTTGAGTTCCAATGAGCTGCTACTGCAAGAAAACACTGCTTCGGAAATTTATTTGCAAAAATCAGCAGAGATACAAGTCACAATGAATGTACATGTATGTCACATGACAAAATTTTGTGTGTTTGCAGCATTGAAAAATAATCATTCCCAGAAAAGTCTGATACAAGGAATTTGCGCAAAAGCAGTTTCTGGAGTTTGCCCTGTTGCTAAGAGGAAAAAAACTCCCAAAACCTCACTTTGCAAGCTCATGCTAAGCTAACACAGTAAAATAGGTTCATGTTCAATTCCATACCCCATTAAAAAGTTCACTTTGTTTCTTAAATCTCTTTCGTGTAAATAGATCAGCGTTGTGCCAATCAACAAGATCACTCTTGAGAAAGAGGCTGTGCAGTTTTTTACTACAGTGCCCCGGGAAGGAGGTTACGAGATACCAGTGACCTTGAACTCGGAGCTGAGTCTGAAAGGTGTGATAGAAAAGAAAAAAAAGTTAACCCTCCCTCTATTTAAGAGGTCATCAGTGGTCAAAATGTTTGTATCTCACCTCTTGGCATTTGTGTACAAACCAATGGGGGTCTTGACCAATATTAAGCCAAGTAATAACCAGGCTGACAATGCATGTTTCCATAGGAGGGTTAATCAGATCTGGCAAATCGGCAGAAAAGTTTTGGTGTTTTTTCTAAAGCCTGATGTTATTTTGAGTCAAAGTTCATTTGTTCCATCCACCAGGGGCGTGTTTTCCCGACTGCGACCAGAAACATGTTTGTGACGTCAAATTGATAACCAGAAACATGTTTACACATGCGCACAAAAACGCTGAACCGAAAACAGTGTCAAAAAGTTGTAAATAAACAGGGCGGACATTTTGATAATCTATAATTTAAGGTGTTCGCGGCCAGTCTTGGCGAAATTGGGGATAATACATTGTGGGCTTGTGAGTTGTATGGACATGTTATTACAGGCCACTTTGTACAAACTTACGACATCAGTATTAAAAAAAATGAGCTTTACAAGCTTCTTTTTCCCAACACTGTTGTGTTAACTGTCGTGTTTTTATCTTACCGTCAACTTGAAATGCACTCCGTGATTGACCCTTGGCCTTGGTTCGGTTTTGGTGGGAACAGTGACGTCACTCCATCCAACTGAAGTCAGGAAAACGCCCAACCAATGACCAAAGCCGAAACATGTTTCTGGTCACGGTTGCGAAAACACGCCCCTGACTAAAATCTACTCCTCAACACTGCCTCAGTCTCTTTAGAATCAGAGAACAATAATTTGTCCTTATATGACATCTGTTACAGCCAGGATGTAGTCGATTCCACCGCAGTTCCACCACAAGTCCAAACACAAGTCCAGTCACAAGTCCAGTCACAAGTAACACCGGATGAACAATAACAGAGGAATGCCCTTGTCAAAGCTCATTTGAATAGCTTGCCAATTCAGGCGATTCACAATGCAGTGCACCACCAAGAGTTTGCCATGGAGAGTTCATTATTCCCAGTGCATTGTGGGAGATGGTCGACAAATTCGCAGCACGGGACATTTGAAATTGTTAGCTTTTCCAGTCCGACAGTTTCTTCAGCGCATCCGTTGCCCTTTTCTTTTTATCAATATGGCGTTTTTTTGTAAGGCGGTAAAATGCTATGCTCCAATCTATAACTTTAGCTCAAGTTGTCTTCTGATGCTCATTCAAATGGGCCATGTTTTGTCGACCGTAAACTTGAAAAATGAACTCTCCATGGCAAACTCTTGGTGGCGCACTGCATTGTGAATCGCCCGAATTGATTTGGGACTGGCGGATTTGTGAGTGACTTGCAGGGATGAACGCAAACTCTTTCATTTTGTATTGAATTGGGGTAGGCTTGGCACTTAAGTCTTCTTTAAAATCAGAACTCAAGACTGTGACCTGTTATGTCAAAAGCAGACGCTTCTGGGCAGAGGTTGAAATTGAGATAGGGCCAAAAAACGCTGTGGGGGGTGATTTTTTTTCAATTTTCAAATTTTTCAATATTTGTAATCTTGAACATTTCTAAAATATACTATACAAGTTTGAAACCCTAATTTGAACTCTAAATATAGTATTTTTGATGATTTGTTAAGGTATATCAGTTAAAGAAATGTCACTTAAAACGGGTCTTAAAATAGACTCCAAACTTTAACTGCCATTTTCCCCGTTTTCCACTTTTCGACAAGATGAACTTCAAGATAGCATAACTATGCCCAGGAACGACCGGTTTCAAAAATTAAACCACCTATTCAAAGGGAAATGTACATATTTTAACAATATGCACAAATCTAATTTTTGACCTTATGCCCAGAAAAGTCTGATTTTGACAGAACAGGTCTGCTCCTTTAATATTGGGACTGATTCAGGAAAGCACACACAGTGCCCTGACTAAAATGACTGCCACTTTCTGACATACATGTCGGCTCTTTAGTAAATATCTCTTGTTATTCCCAGGTGATAACTGCAGCAGTGTGCTACCTAGCCTGGGGCAGGAGCTGCCGTCCCCACCCATCATGTGCCAGCTAGGCTTCAAGGATCGAGGAGTCCGGGTCCAGGCTAGTGAGCTGTTCCACGCCTTCCCAGGATTCAATGCTCAGACTGGTGAGATGGTCCCCAGTTTGTGTATAAATGCTGGACCTCCATATTTTCATCTACCATTTTAAGAGCATGAACCAATTTGGATTTTCATTATTTGTGACTCGCCAGCGTAAAACAAGTTGAAAGTCACACAACCGTATTTTGAGATAAAGCCTATAATAATTGTACAGGCAAAAATTATCAAATTTGAGATTTAGGCGCTAGAAGTTAGAATAACGAATATATTTCATTTCCGTGAAATTCATTTGGGAAACTGATGACGACAATTTTTGTTCACGTTTGGTTTTTAAAAATGTCTGAGGGCCAAAAATTGGAAACTGAAATACATGTACCTATGGGCTCCATGGAGAGTTTGGGGTGACCTAGACTGGTTCCTGATCCATCCACTACGTATTTCGAATGTATCCAAAGTTATTAGAGGCAGGGATTAGTCTCACCAAAGCTGAATTCGAATGTATTCGCGCGCCGACTACGCCTGACGCTCACGTGAAGACGCGGTGGCTAAAGGCTTTTGCACATTCAGGAAGTCGTGATACTTTGCGTGTGAACCAATACAGTACACGCACTCTGTGTGTCCCGGCCACGGAGCTCTCAAAATAGGTAAAAAGGCACCCTCTTTTGTTGGCGCACGGAGCCCATAATAGGGTCACATTTATTAAGTAAATGAAATTTTTTTTCTTTTATGCACTTAGAATTTCTGACCTGAAGAAGAATAGCATTTTTCAGGCCGTAAACGGTAAAACTATCTGTTAATTTTTAGTGTACAAAATTTTAAAAAATCTTGACACAATTTATTCATTCTCATTTTTCTTTTGATTATCAGGTCGATATTTCTGCGGCGTCACCCAGCTCCAGTCCAAGCACACGCCTAGCTACCTAGCCACCCTCAAGGCCGACCTGACCCTGCTTGCCATCGCACGCTCCGTCCCAGGTCAACCTGAGGTCAGGTCAGAGGTCGCAACCTTTGCCTTCCACCCACCGGCGCACGTTCACCCGCTGCATCTGTCACTAGGCTTAGCTCAGAAGGACGCTACCATTATCGTGGAGGGGGTGGAGGCCACCTTGAAAGCACTGAGGGTGAGTATTTTGAAAACCGAGTTCTGCAAGTTTTGGGCTTTTGGAAAAACCTTAAACTAGTGAACCTTTCCGACTTTTGTCGACAAGGAGTACCCCCCTGCTGATTCCCATGGGCGACTTAAGTCGACCAGGAAACCACACACACAGAACACCCACTTACATGTATAGACTACTTTTCAGAAAGGCATCATGTTGATATGGTTGGCCGCCCATACATCAACCATATACCAGCTGAAAGAGTGTTTTCGGATCGTTCTAATGGTGTAGTTTATTCATAGTGTTACCATTACAAAAATATAAGAAAAGTGCTTCAGAAGTATCCACACGTACTCTGAGGTATGGAGTGTCATTTGGTCATGTGGTGAAATGGCTTGCAGTTTGATAACTGGGACCAGATGAACAAAAAGGCATAACTTTCTTATACTTGCACATCTGGACTTCATTTTTACATCACATGAAAGAGTAAGGTTCAAGGAACAAACTTTACACACGACACCTACGATTGTAATCACTCTTTGGCAGTGAAAATCTGGGTTGAAAAAAGTGAGTTTTTCGACTTGTGGTAAGTGTTTTACGCTCTAGTGATTTCCGCATGACTGAGCAAACAATTTGGTCCTGGGGAGAGGCAAGTTAACCCTGGGAGCAGCTTAGCAAAAAAATCACACAGAGTGGCCATGTGGAGAATTTTATCACCACATGTGTTTCTAGGTCAATAACCCCCGCATGCCTGTACATGCACAAGATATAGGTCATTTACATCGTCAGGGATTGTTTACAACCTGTCTGAGCTCTGGACGGCACGAGGGGTTGACACAAAGAGATCGGCGGCACAAAGGGTTTGGCCGCCATTTTCCGAAATTACTGCACAAAGGCATGAGCTGCCATCTTGGCTCCTGTCTTTCAACACTCCTTAATCCGGAGTGGCTAGGGTCTGGCCAATGGGAGTCTACAGGCTTGTGGTGTATAGTGGGGGTGAAGATTAGATGGAAGCTGGGACTAATTGGACCATTGAACAAAAAAATGTGCCCATATTTGGAAAATGTGGAGAATTTTATCACCGCTTCGCTGCTCGGAGGGTTAATAAAGAATGTGGTAATGAAAGGGTTATTAAGATAAATCTGTTAAAATCTGTTGAAATCTTTGTCAATTCCGTCCAGGTCTCGGTAGCCGACACCCAGCTCATCAAGGTCAGTGATCCCTACAGCATCAACGCCAACACCTTACACTACCCGGTCCACTTGGTGGAGTCGTCCCAGCGCCAGTTTGGCTCGGTCGTCACGACGACGGAGGTGGAGCTGTACGACAGCCTGACGGGTCAGAGGCAGGCCATACCGGTGGGGGTCAACCTGGTGCCCCTGGTGGAACAGCCCTCACCTGGTGAGTGATTATGAAGTGGTTACAAGTTTGTCGCAAGTCAGTCACAAGTCGGTCACAAGTCAGTCACAAGTCGGTCACAAGTCAGTCACAAGTCGGTCACAAGTCAGTCACAAGTAAATCACAAGTCAGTCACAAGTCAGTCACAAGTCGGTTGCAAGTCAATCACAAGTCAGTCACGAGTCAGTCACGAGTCAGTCACAAGTCAGTCACAAGTCGGTCACAAATCAGTCACAAGTTAGTCACAAGTCAGTCACAAGTCGGTCACAAATCAGTCACAAGTCAGTCACAAGTCAATCACAAGTCAGTCTCAAATCTGTCACAAATCAGTCACAAGTCAGTCACAAGTCGGTCACAAGTCAGTCACGAGTCGGTCACAAGTCAGTCACAAGTCAATCACAAGTCAGTCACAAGTCAATTACAAGTCAGGCTGAGGTCAGTCACAAGTCAATCACAAGTCGGTCAAAAGTCAGTCACAAGTCAGTCACAAGTCTGTCACAAGTCAGTCTCAAGTCAGTCACAAGTCAGTCACAAGTCAGTCACAAGTCAGTCACAAGTCTGTCACAAGTCAGTCACAAGTCAATCACAAGCCAGTCACAAGTCAGTCACAAGTAAGGCCAAAGTCAATCATAAGTCAGTCACAAGTCAGTCACAAGTCAGTCACAAAGTCAATTAGGAGTGAATTCCTCATCAATCACAATTCGGTAACACGTCACAATTCAATCACAAGCCAGTCACAAGTGAATCACAAGTAATCACAGGTCATACTTGTCTAGGTCAACCTGATGCCCCTAGTGCAACAGTGAGGACTTTTATTCAGCTTTTTTGGTTTATTTAGTCAGAGCAAACATTTCTGAATCATTGCATTACAATGTCGTTCTGAAATTATAGGTTGGAGGTGTTACAAGATCACTTTGCAAGGCAATGGTAGTAAAGTGTCTTGCCCAAGAACACATTTACCAAGATCCCTGAGTTGGCTACTGTATCAGTAGGCACTGTACTTACTCTTTGTTTTTGTCTTGGTTGTGATGTTACAGAGCCCCAGTTGACTGGATGGGCCCGTGTGCTACAAGTCATCTTCAGTAGTTACCCGTACTGGATTCTGCTGCTCATAGTGATTCTTGCTGTTGCCGGCATTGTGCTTATATGTAAGTATGCTGTCAGTGGAAATCAAAGTTGCAATTTAAAAGGATTCGTTCCCGCTCCACGCGATCAATGTCCATTAATGTACTTGGGAGCCAGTCTGCTCGTAAGGCAGTTCTGTTGTCCCAAAATAAAAAAAAAATATTTCCAGAGGGTTACTAACACCTAAAAAAGAAATCAAGAATTTTTGGGGGGATGAATTAAAAAACATACAGCTTGAAGATTTATGAAGAGAGAGAGGGAAAAAAAAAAATTAAATAAATAAATATTGAATTTTTGTTGAAGAGTAATCAAATTTTGTTCGGAAAGTAATCTTGAGGTATAAGAATATCACATCAAAATGAAAACTATTAAGAATTGATGGAAATGCAAGAAATAACATGTACATGTTAAAAAAAAATTCTAATTTCTAATTTGTTTTCCTCAATGTGTTTTATTTGCTTGTTTCCACAGGTTACCATCTCGTCCTGGCCCCCCGCTACTACACGATGCCACCAAACTCCGGAGTCTTTCTACGTACCCCACCCCCGGGGGCTCCCCCACCGTATTTGTCACAGTCACCTGGTAAGTGTTTGAGTCACAAATCAAACGTTAAGTATGAAAAGCAAAACCTCAAAACTAACAAAAGCAAGGAAAAAAAAAAAAACACAGCAAATATGAAAAACAAATCACCAACAAATAGTGCATTCACTTACAGGAAATATGCTTTCCTTTTGCTCTTTTCACACGCCGCCATTGGGCATGCAGAGCCTCGATCTAGCAACTTTACACAATAAAAATAGCCAGTTCAGTGATCTGAATCCCGACATGGGAATCACTGAACCGGCTATATGTTGTCCCACGAATTAGTGAAAAAAAATGGTCCATTTCACTAAGTTCAGTCATCCCCCTCAACCAAACTTGAAAGGTGGTCTGTGGAGAGAAGGCTGAGATCAACAAAATCCTTTCCAATATGGATATTTACGAGGTCTCCTGAGAGCTCAGCTCAGTATTACTAATGACTCTAACATACATTGTATGCTGCAGTGGCAGTCCTGTGTCACACCCAAACTCCCCATTCAACTGAGAACTTGTACCTGCTGCGTGGACTATCAAGGCCGTCACTGAAAATTGTCCTTACTAACTGCCTGTACATGTATACAAAATGCCACTTAAAGTTAAAAACACAACACACCAAAAACACCAAATCCATAGTGACCATAGTTCTTGAGCATATTTATAACCAAATTCTCACTCTGTTTATTTCTTTGTTTTTGTTTAGCCTACCAGCAAAGCCCCTACCAGTCAGCCTTCGACACTTCCCTAAGACACCGCTCTACGCAACAGCAACGCTCCCCGACCAAACTATGGAGCACAGCGTACAGCCCTCAAGAAGGCACAAGCCCACAGTATTAATGCTGGGAAATATACAGGTGGATAAAAAAAACCGAAACCGGGATATTATTGCTAATTGTAACAGAAGTAGGGCCCATGTGAATCAACGGGAGATATCCTCTGCTAGGGTTGAATCTCCTCTTTAAAATGACACCCTGATCATGTTATTACATTCACGGTTGACTGAGCAGTGACCAATTTTATGAAAGGGTCTATTTAGAGGATTGTGCCACTTTTCAATTGTGGTTTTTGTGGTGTCATTGTCACAGAGTGAAAGGCTATGGTTGCCAATCAAGGCAGGTGGGGAAAAAAAAGAGAATTCACCGTGAAAAGTGGCGCAATTCTTTAAATAGACCTTTTCATAAAATTGGTCACTGCTCAGTCAATCGTGAGTGTAAGGATATGATCAGGGTGTCATTTTAAAGAGGAGATTCAACCCTAACAGAGGATATCTCCCTTTGATTCACATGTGCCCTACTTCTGTTCCAATTAGCAATAGTATCTCGGTTTCATTTTTTTTTATCCAACCTGTAAAGTCTTTGCCCAAGACATCAGTGATCAAGAGCGATAGTTGCAATGTTCTGTAGCGCCTTGCATAATTGATTTTTTTACGTTCTCTCACTAACATCTTGGTCATTTTGTAGCAACGGGGGCGTGGCCATTTTATGTAAATAAGACCGTCTGTGTTAGTTCGAACAGCATGGAAGTTCCCATTTGCCGCAGTAGTCGCGCAGTCATGCGGGGTATCACCGCGTTGCATAATTAGCGATGATGCTTGCTAACCGCACGTGTAGCATGAATGTTTATAAACGTCGGCGAGACATTAAACCATTTGTCGATCGCTGATTGGTTCCCTAGGAAAGCCATGATGCTGGGTCACCACAGGTATATAGCCTGTATGTTTTCAACCGTCTGGCAAGCCATTGAACCATTTCTTGATCACTGATTGGTTCCCTAGGAAAGCCTAGAAAGAAAATAAAGAAAACGTTAAACCGCTGATACGAAATGGCCAAGACGTTAGTTGGGAGTAGGCGCGCTGGTCTAATTGTTGTGCCATTAGAAGGCGCTCTATGCACCGTCCACTATCGATCACTAGCATCTTGGGCCGAGACTAGGATATAAATAACACTTTGGAAAACGGCTTACATCCTTTGAGATTCAAGATTCAGGCTTTCAGGTATTGCTACTTTTCCTACTTTTTCCTAGTTTTTCTTTACCTTGCTCCTACTTTTCCTACTTTTTTTCTTGAAATCCCTTCTTTTTCTTCCTGCAGCTCCAAAAAATGAAATCTCATTGAATATTTTTTATCATAACAGTGTTACACACTGTCATATGTAAATCACACAATGAAGGGCTTGGGCGCAGGAGTACTGCAACTGTACTTCCAAGAGCTTAGTTGAGGATGGAGCACAAGTGTTGTGAGTACAGAACATGCCAAATGAGGCTAATGATGCTGTGGGCATGGGCGAGTATCAACGAAAACTACTCCTGAAAGCCCGCAAAAGTCCTACTTTTATCCTGATTTTGTCCTCCAAAATCCTACTTTTGCCTGTTTTTTTTAATATTATTTTGATCCCACTGTTCTAATATTCACCTTGGTCCGCTTGAAAGCCTGATTATTTGTTAATTTTTTAGATCATGTTCAAGGTTTTTGCCAGTGTATGCATTCCAGTGGTTTTCCACTTCCCATTTCATTCAGGCAATTCACAACGCAGTGCGCCACCAAGAGTTTGCCACGGAGAGTCCATTTTTGAAGTTTACGGTCGACAAAACATGGCCCATTTGAATGAGTGTCAGTAGACAACTTGAGCTAATTTGTTATAGATTGGGGCATAGCGTTCTGCCGCCTTATAAAAAAAACCACCATATTGATGAAAAGAAAAGAAAAGAAAAGAAAAGGGCAAACAGATACTCAAACCATACGCTTGCGAAACTACTGACCAGAAAAACAAACCATTTCAAATGTCCAAACTCTTGGTGGCGCACTGCATTGTGAATCGCTATGAAATTTGCAACAAGTGTACATGAAGAAGTCTTGTAAAGACTTCCTACTTGCCATGCATTCCTACTAATGGCTGTGGCTTAAGTCTGGTACCAGTTGCACAGTGTATTTTCCAGTATGGTGGGATTTGGTCACCAGCCTATTTCATCGCCGAATATTAACGACTATGCAAGGAGTGTACAGTATTTGAGGTATTTTTGTGCATGCGTATTACATGTATACCCTCCAGGGTTAAAATGTAAAAATTAGTTTAACATTATGGCACTCCAGTGCAATTTTTTGTTGTTTCTGCATTCCTCTTATGCTACAGGATTGTGCAAATTTAGACGAAAACTGTGGACACACACTTGGACGAGCATGTTTGTTTATGGTGTAAATCAAGGGTTTTCTATTGTTCCTCCTCCCTTTTCCTTTGTTTATTAACTTTTTTTGCAACAGCTCTCATTGGTTTTGTACACGTTTTTTAACCGAGGAGTCCTTTTTTGGTTCCTGTCCTTGATTCATCGATGAATCGATGATGTTGCATGTGTGTGTCCTCGATTTACACCATAAACACATGCCCAATTACATGGCTCTGCTTACCGTTGGCAAAAAAGTCCCACTTACTGTAGCAGAACATTCAGTGCTGACGGTAAGCATATTTCACGGGTTAGGGAGGAATTTTGGCTTCTGCGCATGTGTACATCCTGTAAGTAAGGATTCTGTGCTTACAGGGTTAGCGCAGAATTGTTCTGCTAGCACTGTTAGCCCAGAATGGTGATTGTAAGCGCGGAATGCTGTGGTTAGCAGACCAATGAAATAGGGGCCTGGGCATACATTTAGAGCTGCGCCGAATATACCAAATATTTGAATATTCGATCGAATTAGAGTTTGAATATTCGAATACTGACTTATTCTGAAATGCGCAGCTCTATATGTAACGCATGCCTGTAGGACCTCTTTAAGAATTTGATATTTTTTAATCAAGTTGTTACGATAAATTTGTTGGTTTAAAACGTGCGAGATCAATTTGTTATAAGAACTATGCAATGAAAATGGCCGAGAATCCATTAAGTATTGCTTATGAAGTTTTAAAATCAGGGATTTTTTTTTAGTATTTTGTTTTTTGTAAGTTAAATGCCAAATGCCATATCAGTTTGGTTTAAGGAAAATGTTGTGCAGTGTAACACGTTTGGATTTTTGACATCGAAGCTAAAGGAATACACATGTAAAATAAAAAGTCATGTACGTTAAATTTGCTGTTGTGAAAACTGAAATTGGATTTATTTTATGTATTGAAAGCTCAGGCATATCGTGGCAGACTATTTAACTACGATGACATTTGTGGAAATATTGTACAAGTTTATGCTGATTTTATTAAGTGTAATCAATATTTTTTCGAAGTTGGAGAAGACTTACAAAATATTTGAAAATGTGGAGTTTTGGTTTTGTATAGGTTTTCAGACTAGCCCCATAAAATTTGTCTCAAATACTGGACTGCCTTCGTATTAACAGCCACACAGCGACGCATGCTGCATTTAAAAAAAAAATAGTTTCCTGAACTTGAAATTTAAACTGGGTTTATTTTTCACTTGAAATTTGCTATCCGGCTCGTTAGTAAAAACGGCATACACACGCGATAAACACATTGGATAAACACTCAAGTTGAGTTGGCTTCCAGTTCCAACAGTTCCAGTGCTACTCAATGTGCAGTGGGCGTTGTTGAACCTTGCGCAGCGTTTACAAAAAAACTTTACAACAACTCGTCAAAACTGCTGCCCTCTCTGGGCAGCAGGTACTTTCCCGCACTACGCAAGACCCTATTCTTAGCAATACAACAAAAAGCCACGTGCCAGACAGTGTCCAGACAGTTGCCAGACAGTGCGCTGGAAAGATAATTGACTGGCGGCTGTGGTATGCAGTTATGAAGGGAGATGACTGTGTCAAGTTACAGGTCTTTGTTGATTTTCAATGAGACTTGGCAGGAGGCCTGGTCGAAAGTTTGTTGACACGGCCTGGGTGTAGCCCTGGCTGCAAAGTTCATTGAACCAGCTGATTTGGCACGGGTTGAATGAGGATTAGATAGGAGGTGAACGTTATTGGCCCTCAATTTTTTTTTTCAAAAAATTCGGTTACCTGGGGCCCAAAGGGTAGCAGGTCACTCTTCGTAGGGTTAAACTGAAGTGACGTCATACTAACGAACCGGATAGAACCTAATTACCTGGTTAGTAACCAGGCAAGATCAAAAGATCAAAGGTGCATGACCCAAGACATTGAGAAAAATCCTGCTGTTCATCTTGGGGACAAACTCTCTCAAAATTTCCCCTGAAAATTGCAGGAAGATTGGACAGAGCTTTAAAGTGGTAGCTGACTTGTAACTTGAAAATTACATGAGTGATTTGAACGATTCGTGTGCTAAAAGAAAGCTTATGAATTGGGCTTTCATATCCTAGATTTTGAAAGTGCAACATGCAGAACTTCACTAAAATAACGGTCCCGACATTTGGGTATCATTTTTATTTTACTCGCCCTGTATAGTTAAAACATTATAACATGGTTTATTTTCAAATGAGATGGATATTTGATGTTAGCTCCCCTCGGTATTGGACAGTGACAAACTAGTTCCCTTGACTCCCCGGGAAATAGTTTGGCCTTGTCTAACACCTTGCGGAGCTAATCGACTATCCACCCTCAAAGCATGTTATATTTGTATATTAGTTTCCATTTATGCTTAGGGAATCAGAAATGGACATAATTACAACAGTGGGGGATTGTACATATTTTTTTATGGCTGTGTTTTGATATTCAAATAAGGCCAAAGATTGTTTCCATAAACGTCTTTGTGTTTTGTAAAAACACAGGTTTTTGTTGTGGTCTTGACTAGTGGTAAAACTGCTGTACATATACAGTCGATTCTCGTTAATAAAAACTCGTTCGGACCTAGCCAAATTGTTTGTTATATCAGAATTTTGTATTAAGAGGAACATCAGTCCCATTCATTGTGCACATAAATGCACAGTCGGAACTAAGGCTTTATGTTTGTTATAACCAGAATTTTGTATCAACAGAGTTTGTACTAACGAGAGTCGACTGTATAATGTGAAGGAGTTGGATGAACTGAGATTGAATATATGTAGAAATAACAAACTT